ACATTCAGAATAACGAAGTTTTAGGATTTTTTTTCTAATGGAACGGACCCCTTCGTTAAAGTGAATGTCACTGTGTAGTAAATATCAGCATTATAGCTTAAACTGCGAGTAGATATGATATCGACAACGTAAGAATGAACAGTAAACCGTATCACTTACAAATGTACAATGGATTATCGACCGTAAATGCTCAGAACGACATGGATACTGCGTTACGCGTGCGATTTCTAGTTGACGTCAAATGTAACTTTTTAATGTTTTAACTCTGGTCATTAAATTAGGGCGAGTGACTGACATTACCGTAAATTAAATCCTTATGTGCATGCTTGTAAGAACCAATCAAAATTTTCGAACAAATTCATTAATCACGTGAGAATAAGCACAACGCATCTAATTCTCGAAAGCAAATATATAAAATAATAATAACGATAATAATAATGCTTCCGATCAGAAAACCGAAAACCAGAAACATACGCAAGAAAGTCACAGTCGATGACGAAGACGCTGATTCTATATCTGGTACGCCTTTCTTTCTCAATCTTGTCCCTACTCTGCACTACTTACACTGATCCTCTTCCATTCAACCAGATCAATCGTTGCTGCTGTCAACCGCAACAACCACAACGACCCCAGCAACTCCAGCAACCCTAACAAAGAAAACAAAAAAGTTAAAATCACATGTAAAGCTAAGCTTTGGGATTGAAGAGGTAGGATCTTAGCCTCTTTGTGAATGGTGGATGTTATGTGGTACCTGTTGTGGGGATGTATGTCTCGAACGCAAGGAAGCGTTGGGATTTTCTGAGGTAGGAGAGGATGAACTGGCTGTTGTCTAAGACGAATGGAGTACCTTTTAAGTGTAAGAGAGCACTATGTTGCGATAGATACTTGATCGAGTCACCTTGTTTGGTTCTCCATTGAGAAAGAGACAACATAGCCTGCAGTCCCATCAGTATTGGAAGGAATAAATCAAATTAATATATTCTTCTTATTCGGATACTTGCAGGATGAAGGTGGGGAGGTCTATGTATCAAAGGTCCAAGCGAATAGACGGACGCCCGGTACAAAGCCACGAAAATTGTATTTGGATGTGTGAGTATTTTACTACTTTTGCTTGATTATATACTATGTCTAAATCGCACTAATTCATTTTGATCAACTTAGGCGTTCTTTACCTAAGAATTTGGAGAGTGGTACTGAAGCACCAACATATACAAAGGAAATATTGTCTCAGTTGAAAGAAAGCACACCAAACACGCCTCCATCGTTTACCGAAGATGCTTTGGTTGCAGAGAAGTTTCCTTCAACTATTGGAACAGGTGTGCTTAATTATTTCTGTCAGTCAACTGGGTTTACGCAAAATTTCGTGCACATATTTTACACAATTATTCACATCACGTACGGATATTGGCGTTATGTAGGTCCCATAACGGGTATTCCTGACCCTGCTACAATTCATGCGGCTAAGAAGAAACGAGAAATGCTGCGACAGCGGGCAGTGAGCGGTGCTCCAGAGTACATTTCATTATCAGATGAGACGGACGTAGGTTTTATGTTCAACTGCGTAAAAAGTGATATCGCGTTATATTTATTAATGATCTGATTGGCATTTAACATCTTCCAGGTTATATCTACTTCTGGAAAAAAGTTAGAGTCGAGATTAGTACGTGAAGAAGATGAAGCGGATGACGTTGACGCTGGTGGGTGTCGCATTATCTCTATGCAACTCATATTCGGGTGTTTTATAATGTACTGATAGGATTATTGTTAATTAAAAGACTTTGAGAAATACGTGTCTGAAAGGTTGCCACTTGGCAGGAAGCAACTGAAGTTTCACAATTGTTATTGGAGAAATCAGAGGAGGAAGTTTTGAAACTAAAAATTAATGATCCATTCCGGAAAAATCAAAAGACAGTCGAGGAGGCTTTGGAATGGAAGATAAAAACGAAAAGCAGAGAATACCTCGAGACATTACAAAATCGACAAGATGCAGATTTGAAATGTATGTTTGTTATTTTGAGAGTTGGTTTGCACCGTCTAATTAGCAGGAAAGTTTATGATGTTAATGAATAACGTGTAGAGTTTAAATATTCTCAAATGTAAATAAATCAATTCTCGATCATGGCCCATCACGAGCTACATCATGGTTGATTTCGTATACTAATACATAAACGCGTTTGCTTTTGCATGTGTGTTTTGGGATCGATATAATCAAGAAGTTTCGATTTCTGATTTCCGGAAAATTTTTAGTATAAAGTTTCTTACATAGCATATACTTAATACTGTATACATGTATATTTTTCTATATTAATATTAAATAAACTTTTGAATATATCTACATCTTGTAAAAAATGGCAAATACAGAATCTAAATCGATTCATTAAAAGAATTAAATTCGAAGCTCTTGGCTGAGATTTCTGAGCTTAGAAAGGAGTATGCCAAGATTCCTGAACTTAGAAAAAAATATGCTGAGATCGAAGCTGGAAATGTGAAGTTAAGACAAGTCATAGAAGAGAGCATTGAGCTTAAAACCAGGTTTGAAGAGTTGGAGAAAAATAATAAAACAGATACTGCCAAGCTCACTGCCGAGAATACTGAGCTTAAAGATAGAATCACGAAATTGGAACAGAAGCAGACTCAGGTCATTACTAATGAATTGAGAGCATCTTCTACAACAAAATCTGAATCTTTAACGGAACTTGAAGAATCAGAGATTCGATGCTCTGCATTACCCCCTGCAACCTCTTTACCGCAAGATGATACATCTAAACAAATGTCAGAAGACGCATCCGATATATCTGATATCGCTTCAAATACCAAATCATTGGAAGATAAGGCGATCGATGAATTCTTGGATGGGGTGCATAAGAAAAGGGTTAGTATATAATGGATAATAGAGAAATAAATTTTCTTTTAGAAAAGGGAGCGGCGTGGCAGGGTTCACTCGACTTTTGTCATTCAATGCTGGTATTACATGTATATCCGCTGAGCCACAAACCCAATGCGGGGCGTAGCAATCGCTAAGCGATCCGGTTATCTGATGTCCAAGGCCAAGCGTCCGTAAGCACCTCGCTGACCTAGCGGAATGGAATAATGAGTACGACATTGCCAGTCAAGAATATCTTCAACTCAAGGCTTTGCATCCAAATCCGACCAAAAACGTGACAAAGGTTGGGAGCAGAAACGCAAATCAAATGCCAGCCGATGGCGGTTCCTCAATCATTATTCATAATTCAACGCTATCACGAAACTCATCAGGAAACTCTTTAGAAATTGGTTCCATTGCTAAAAGCTTTGTTGATGAAATGGTACGGCTGGGGCAACTGTTAACTTGGGAAGTTGGACAATGGCAAAACTAACTATTTTATATTTGCAGGGAAAATGTTATCCTACTTTGATTTTCAGACTCCTCAACAGCAAATGCCTCAACAACAAATGTTGTTTTCAAGTTTCTTTGTTGCCTTGGCCATAAGAATGAAAGTGACGAAGCAACAGACGGTAATGGGACTGATACAATAAACAAGATTTTAAACTTTTAGTGAGTACATGGACGGTGATTAGATTGGTTTGATGGGTCTTTCAAGGGAGTCAAAATAATACGCTGTTCCTTTGCTTATGAATCTTTGGTTTGACGAAATACAGCAAGGGCGCCATTACTTTGCCGAAGAAAGAAAATTGACTATTGAGGCCATTGCACTGGTGCATATGCATTGGTATCACATGGTTCTGTTTCTACCTGCGAAGATTTTTTCCAAACAAAGACTTTTACAAGCAGTCATACTCTTTCTTTATAATTAGATGTTATTTTACTTTCCATTTCCACATACGACAGCAAGGTCATATATCTGCTTTCCAGCGACTTTAGCATTTTCAATCACGAAGGTTGTAATTGTCACCTATAATTTAATTACGGTCGTCTTTGTAATGAAAATTTGTTGAATCCCGCGTTGATGACATTCCCCAATTGATTACTTCAATACCTGCAAATTGGTAGCAAGGCAGCCGAGTCAAAACTGTGTTGGAGATTATTACTGCATGTGTTTAACCTAACTGCTTATATTTCTTGTATTGGCAGGGCCAAATTTTTAATTACCCTAATTCTGTGCATTATCATTTTGTGTCATATTATAAATAAAATCTCTATTACGTCACAAAGATACATATAAATGGCGCCGGAAGTATATAGAAAGTATTGATAAAGGCGATTTTCATAAAATTTGCTAATTAAATACTAATACTGATACGTGTACAATAGCCTTTATTATAGTACAGTAACTAAACGTGTTTCAAACATCTATCGACTATTACTAAGTATTGGGCATAAGCATAAAATTTAGTTTACAACGTACAAGAAATTTTTAGTTTTGGTTTTACGTGGTCCAAACTGATTAACAGTTTCTTGTTTGATAAAAACAATTATCGCAAGCTCAATGTATTATTATTTATTTTAATCTAGACAAAAAAGTTTAGATAAGCAATTACATAAGAGGTACTATTTTTGTTTCAATTATCTGTTGCCATCAAATCAGCAATAGGCAGGGAGTCGGTTGAGAGAAATAATTACATATATGCCTGATTATTATAAAATAACTGCGTTATGTTAATAAGATTTATAATCAATTTGTAAAAGGTTTACCTTTAGCATAAACATCAATTCGTATGAAAATACACAGGTATTTTCAACACGTTTACGTACTGTATGAGTATCGCTGTCTGTATATTTATTAACTCATTTTTTAGATCACTACTGTCTTGATAATAAACACACGATTAAAAAATGGTGGAAACTTTGGTTTTATGGCTTGTACAAGATTAATATAAAAGCTCGTAGACTTGGAAGAGAGTAAGCTGTGCTTATTATAAGGGCTGGTCAGTTATCGCTTAATCTTGTCACTTTTTGTACTTTAGAATTAGGAAGCAGAAATAGGAAACGATAATATTGTGCGACTAATCTTAACCCTGAAATTAAGAATTTAGCGTCTGTGAAAAGATTAATCTTTGATAAGTATGATTAAAAACACCCCTTATAATTGTTTGTAACATTTTAACGTTTAACCTTAACCGGGGTTTCCATAGTAATAGCTCATATTCCTGGGTTATAATAGAAATGATTTTAATTTATATGCGCTAAAGATAGGGAAAGTTGAAAACACACAAGTGGTGGGGATGTGCAGGGAATTCGAGATGGGGTGAGGGGGGGGGGAAATGTTGATTATCATCACCACATACGAATTACCAAGTCTGTACAATTTAATTGGATCGATAACCAAAATACAAATAGAATTTCAGGTGTTGGAACTTGCCCCACTGTAGTATCTGTGATGACGATGACGATGATGATGATGGGATGCGGGCTGATTATTTCAATCAGTATAATCAGTTGCTCTTTTCAATTAAAAAAAAATTTTTTTTCATATACTCGCACAGACTTTCTCTACCAGTAACTTTGATAAACCATGCTGATAACATGCTCTATAGTATGCTAGTGTGCGATTACAAACTCCCGATAAATCCGAACATGTTTCCTGCCATTTCGCCATACTTCTTCTCTTGCATGGTCGGAGTTCTGAGAATGCTCTCCGACTTGGTACTTTTAGTGGTATCAGTTATTGTTTTAACAACTACAACACTCGAGAAACAAGTTTGTCTGTGACGAATTAGGAATGGGTCATATGTGACAAAGCAACAATTGTAACAAAAATAGTTATACGACTCTGTTGGGAATGGCAAATTGTAATATACGTTGTATGTGTAAATGAATGCATAGTTCTGTCTTTATTAGTTTATTTTAAGACATCATATTTTTCCATTGTATAAAATATGCATGTTCATAAGTATTGTATTGTAACGGTAATTTATATTGTCTCTTATTCAGATGTACATATTTGTGTATATAACAATTCTGTATTTTTTTATGTTGTATAAAGTACCGTTAATATTATAGAGTATGATGTACAATATGATATACGCCAGTTGCAGTGTCTTTGTTGTATTGCTGTATTGTAGGAGACTATTTTATTGTATCAGGTTATTATAAACTCCGACAATGACAATGGACACAAGCACGTTCACATCTTGATTAGAGAGATAGAGGTAGATATTACATGAACTAGTAACCAAGGGTAAAAAAGAAAGAAAGAAAGAGTGTGTGTGAAGTGTGGAGTAGTATAGAATGTGAGAGTATTATGAATGTACACATACATTATCCGTATATTTATTTACTTGAACTTTATCTGTTTCATTGTTGTGTCGAATCTAAAGTATCAGCCATTTCACAACTGTATGCTGACCATCATTTATATGCATGAGAAAGAAAAAAGAAATAAAAAAGGATAACCCACTCGTAAACGTTAACGAATAATCTATCGAGATTCTGAAGAATATCTGGGACACTTGCTCCGTTTTTACAACGTCTCAAAAGATATAAAGGAGTGTCCCATCCTGCAGAAAAACCCACTCATAATTTATTGTACATAAACATCATCATCAATATTAACAAAATAGCGAGAGAGAGAGAGAGAAGAGAGAGAGAAAAAGAAAAGAGAGGATAAAAAAACAAGAGTATACCGAGAGATAATAATCATTTTACTAATAATCAAAAGCATACCATCAATCTATCTGCATACTCTCAATAATACTCTTTGAAAAGAGAAGAAAAATAAACCTTCCCCACTTGTCATTCTACCACAAAAATTTATCCCATCTTCCGATAATAATAATCCATCTTAAAAATATTATCCCCTCTTTCCCCACATACACAACTTCTTTCACAAAGAAAAAAAAATGTTCTCCACAGAGCAACCCGAGCACCCCCTTCTACGTCCCTATGTACCCCGCCACTCTCTTGACTCGTCCTTCTTCACCCTTTCCTCAATACCACAACCCACATACTCCTCTTCTCTCTCCCCACCCGGTTCACTGGAATATGACGAATCAGCTGGCAGTTGGAACACAAGCATGTACGTCGATCCACAAGAAGGGATACAATCACCACGCTTCTATTCACTAGCTAAGCATGCACGAGATATGCTAGAGCCAGCCATAAAAGCAAAATTAGAAAATACAGCAGAGGCAGTCGGAAGGCTATGGAGCGCTATCAATCCAGAAGTATACGAGACTGGTTTCTTTGTCGGTCCGAGGCTATTTGTGAGTAGGCTGAGATTGGGTGATACCAACGCAGCAAAGATTGAGAGTATGAGTACCGCCGGTTATGTATCTATTGCAAGTTGGGGAGGTGAGTTTGGTGCTGGTGTGGTGGTGGTAACGGTGGTAGTAGTGGGTAGTGGTGGTTGGTGGCGTGGTAGCGGTAGTGGTAGTGGCAGTGGTAACGGTAGAGGAGTGTCGTGAGGAGTGTTGAGTATTGGACATATTGGTTAGTAGACGAAAAGGGAATTAATATATATATGGTAAAACCCAGTTAGTATAACTGTTTAGAGTGCATTGTCGCCGAGTATCTCAAACGTCCTTTGTCATTTCTAGTTTAAGAAATATTATCACAAACATTGTAGTTAATTACCCAACTTATAACACAACTCTATTTCTTCTCTATTGTTTTCGTAACACAATAGAAACTTGCCCACGGAGCGCTATTCCTGTGAAATGTTTATGGGCCAGTGACGAAGCCGACTTCGGATTGTTTCTCGTAATAAACAAGACTTTCCGTGCGCCTGGATATCTCGAATTACCGGATGACTCTTCATCTGAAGTAGCAAAAAACTTGCGATATAGGGTAATGTTTCGACTCGGCGTGCGTGTGCCGTGGATGTCGTGGATGTGTCGTGGATGATGTCGTTGTGACATGTACACTTTTGAGTTACTAAATTTATTCATATCCTCTCTTCAAATTACACAGGACAGCGTGGTAGCAATTGTATATAACGGCACACCTAATAGACAAGTACTCGAAGAACGCAATGCATTGCGATATCGAGAGGCTGATGAAGATGGTCGACCCAAAATCGTATGTATTATCTCCCGAGTTGGGGCTCTTTTTTTTTGTGCGTCCAAATAGAACACAAACAAATAGCCAAGGATAAACAAAGACTATCAAATGAACATTATTCAACGGACTGCGGAAACAACATATGACTACTTTTTGGACTAAAACAACAAACAACTGTTATTTTCCCTACCCCCAAACACTTTTATCTAGCCCGAAGACTTGAGCACTATCCTTCATCCGCGCGCAAAATCCGTCGCATCTGGCAGCGTTGTCGGTCTCCCTTCTCTTGATCCAGATTTACCACCGACAATGTTTCGCATCTCTGCCAGTCTATGGGATGGTGCAAGCGGTGGGCCCGTTTTTGTCATACGCGGAACAGACATTTTGCTTATTGGAATGGGTAAGTAGATTTCTGAGAATGATCAGGATAAATTTTTTTTTTTTAAAAAAAGCTTTTGGATTGTGCCAAATTTGCTGATTGAAACTTTTTTATGTTTTTAGTTTCATTATGTCCGGGAGAAACTGAAGGAAATGAGGCGTCATTCTTGTACAATTGGCACAAAAGCAAAGTGGCAGCTGCCATTAAAAAGGCACAAGAACAACAGGTAACGTGTCGATCGTATATCATTCCTCGTTTTTTCTACGGGTTTCTCGCTGTCTTTCCCATTAACATGTATCATTACCTTTTGCAGATGTACCTTTTTAGCAAAGACGAACTCCAACACTTTCACAAGCTCACACGTAGACCAACACCACCACACAAACGTGAAGACTCGGGACGGGCGAGAAACAGTGTTCCATCAAAAAGATCATCCCGCTTATTAAGCCCACTTCCCACAACAAGACCCACATCGTTCATTGTAGTTTCAGAAGAAAAACACGGGATCGATGGTTTGGACTTGGACATGCCGCCGCAAAAGAACGAGAGAGAAAGAGAAGAAAGACGAGATAGCGCTTGCGAGATTACCAGCGACGAGGACAACAAAAAAGAACTGGTCGGGTTTCCGTACCTTCCGCCTCTGACCAAAAGCACCAATTACGAGAATCGTTTCTCGTCTGTATCTATATTTTCCGACATCGACTCTTCGTCCGATCTTTTCTCGTTCAATTCAACGATAACTGCATCGCCGATACAGTCGATTTCATTATCGACGCCGTTAACGGTTTCCAAACCGACGCCTCGAGTCGTGGTCAGAAAGCAGCCAACAAGCAAGACACGATATACTCGGCTACATCCACGGACATTGTTTAATGATGGGCTTCTTTATTTCTTTGTGGTCACTTTTGTGCTTTTATTTGGTGTGATTCCGTTACATCCAAAGAGTTGAACGAGAGGAAGAGAAAAGGAGAAAGAAAAAGCGAAAGGATATTTTTGTGGTGAGGGATTTGGTAGTTTTTGATAATTATTTAAAAAAATATGTATGCAATGATTATCACGATTTGGCATGGGGGATATTTAATGTGAGAGAAAGTATTTATTGTATTAAGGTTGTATTGCATTTTTGAGTAATTTGGGTGTATGTTGTTTACACGCACGTGGAAAATAGTTGATCATCTTTTATTTATGTGGGGAAGTAGAGCGTGTAGGTGATCATATACCAAAAATTCTCATAAGTATCGCAGCGCGTAATACTTGTAAATTGAAAATTTCTTCCATCATATGACTCCATATTATTTTATATATCATTTTCTTTTTTGTAAGTTTTTTTTTTAACTTTCGGGCGAGAGTGTGAGTGGGGGGTGTGTGCGCGTTGTTTGTTTGGGATGACCTTCTGTATGTACAAAGTGTTTATACTTTCAGTGTAGAAAAAGAAGGTTACTCATTCTATATGCAGGCATATATTTATAAAAGTTTTTTTTATACGATGAGGATTATTATATATTATTGTAACGAGGCGAGATAAACTCTTGGTTAATATATTGTTGAATGGATTATATAAAATATGAGAGACTTGTCGTTAATAAAAATTTAAATAAAAAAAATAAATTAAGATTTAAAAAAAAAAACGTGTCAAAATCAATGTTTTCTTTTTCAAATGTTAAGTTTATAATGAAATTTCATTTTTAAAATTAATAATAGATTTACCAAATTGGCAACAAACAAACATTGAGTTTGGACATATACACAACAATTCATATACGTCGTGCATTTAATGAGCCACATCATATGAACGCAAACCGGTTGAATTGTATAACCTCTCAAAATTCCAATGTGAGATCCTTTTTTGACAGCAACTAATCGATGTCTTTATGAAACATATTCGTTAGTATGCATTGTACACCAATGATTTCATTGTTCACGTTATGCAGAGGCACAACGGTATATATTGTCAGACAAAGCATCCTTTACCGTATATGAAACTAGGCAAATCGAACAAAGCGATTTCAGGGTTTCAAGGATGTTATTTTGCTTTATTACGTAGAATTGTCACTGCACACTGTCACATGACACAAACTACATCAATGCATATTAATATGCACAATATTAGTGCTGACAAGGAAACATGTTATCTATTTTTATATTTATATAATAATAAGGAAAAAACATATGTGTGCAAAAACGAAATTATAAAATAAAGAACGTTATGAACCGTCTGTAAAAAGATATTATTAACGCAATACGTATTTACTGTTCTGTAGACGTCGAGCAATGAAAGTCTCAATCTGCCTTTTTATGAGATAAAAACTTCATTCAAAATATTGATACAGTTCTCGCATTATCGGACCAAAGTATTTATATAACGGCGATTAATTATAGCTGGACTTATGTGCTTGATAATCATCCTACTGAGCGCACAATTGTTAGGGAATTTATTACGTCAGGGACAATCATGATACTAGTCTGTGGTGAAATATTGTTTCTGGCTATTGTTAAGACCAAGTGTAACGAATAATGTATGCTATGCGACGTTGTATGATTAGAGGTATGATGTAATCACGCGGAGCACGTACCACGTCCTGTAATATTTAACAGTTATGGCCCCTAAAATATACTGTGGCCTTTATCTGGTACCCAGTTCCATTCTAATTACAAAGTCCAGGACGGAGTTTTATTATGGATTACAACTATTTTACATTTTTACTATACATATCTATACGTTATTAAGAGAATCTATACAAAAATAAAGATTTTTTGGGTGTCGACTATTCGTCAACGACCGATATAATGTCTTTGCTATCTGGTTCAATTTTCAACGATCATTAAAGCGTATCACCGTCCTGTCTAAGATTAAGTAAGACAGTTTTCCTTATACTTAATGTCCATGTATTGTCTGGTTCAATCTCTAGCGATTTTTGTATGTCTTTGGAAGCATTCTCATGCTGCTTGAGATTAATATAAACAGCTGCCCTTATACTTAATGTCCATGTATTGCTTGGTTCAATCTCTAACGACTTGCTGAAATCTTTTAATGCATCTTCATAGTTCTCGCAATAATAATATACCGCTCCCCTTCCGCTCAACGCCCATGCACCATCTGGATTAATATCCAATGAATTGTTGAAATCTTCCAACGCTTTGTCATATTGTCTAAGATTAAGGTAGACACCTCCGCGTCTACTCAACGCCCACGCGTCATTTGGTTTAATCTTTAGTGATGCATTGAAATCATTCAACGCATCATTATACCGCTCAAGGTGAAGGTAGACGGCTCCTCTCGTACTCAATGCCCAAGTATCAGATGGTTCGATCTTCAATGATTGGCTTAGATCGCGCAATGCCTGCTCGTGACGCTTAAGATCAAGATAAACACGTCCCCTGTTTCTCAATGCGTACGCATTCGTTGGTTCAATTACCAAGCATCTGTTGAAATCGATTAATGCTCTGTTGTGCTTTTTAAGATTAGTATAGACGGTTCCCCTTTTGCTGAGCGTTAATGCATTATCTGGTTCAAACGTTAACGATTTATTGAAATCATGCAATGCCTCATCATACTTTTCAAGGTTGAGATAGACAACTCCCCTATTTTTCAATGCAGACACGTCATTTGGTTCAAGCTCCAACATTCTGTTAAAGTCATCCAACGCGTCACGATACTCCAATATCTTTAATCTCTTGTGTACATTTTCGCAGAATGGGCGCTTGTCCGGGTCTTCGTCCCAACATTCCGAATACACGTCGACATATTCTTTGGGTGTTCCGACGATTGGAGGGTCCCGGTAGCCATTAAGCCTACACGTAATGATTTTGTCCTCAGCGCGTCCTCCACACGGAATTTTTCCAGTTGATATTTCCCAAAGTATTACTCCCAGACTAAACATGTCTGATTTTTTTCCACGTCTGTACGATTCATCCCTAAATGATGTTGGATCTTTGTATCTCAGTGCGCCGTGACCGTGCGATGGGGACATTTGCTTCAAGACGCTAGATAAACCGAAATCTGTAATCTTAGCGATACCCAATTGTATGAGAATATTTTTGGAAGACTGATACAAAAGGTAAGTTAGTATTAACTGAAACGATTATAGCAGCAACGTAAAAAGGCATTAAACTTGTAATGCATACCAAATCTTTGTGAACAATCCCGAGCGAATGTATGTGTCTTAATCCATCAACAATCTCTAGACCTAGCTTGTATTTGTGTTTCCATGACAAATTTCTAAAGTGTTTATCTAGGTATTCACGTAAAGTCCCACCGTCAGCCAGTTCAAATATCATGTGATAGTCATCATTCTTGTCTGCGGGCGGAAAAGCGAGAATCAGCTGTTATTCTTCATTAATAATAAATAACAAGGCTTTCCCATTTAAATACCTTTGCATAGACCTAAAAAGCGGATAATGTTGGGGTGAGAATTTGCTTGCCTATGATTTTTCAACTGAAAAGTATGGAATTACGTTAGTTTGGCGTCGTCTATATGCAACAAGTTAATGGTAGCGGGACTGGTAACAATTAATAACCTCTCGAACAAAGGAGCCGTACAAATCCTCTCCATTACTGTTTGTGGCCAGAATCAGCGTCTTCACCGCAACAGTCATGCCGGAAAGAAAGTGCTTTTTGCCGAAGATAGACTTGGGGAATCTGAAGCGCTTAACCGTTGCCTTTTGTACCATACCGAATGCCCCGATACCAATAGGTCTAGGATCTACTCTTATGTCGCTTTTTGGACAACAATAAATTGTCCCAGATTGAACGCTCGTATCTAGCCATTCTTTATATCTATTAGTTTTGTCCTGGGGCATGATAATGATAGATACAAGTGAAAGCGTTCCATCAAGGCATATATTATTCAATTACACAAGTACCTAATATGGCAAAAACTGCGGATAAAAGGTCACCGAACAACTGAAGTAGCATTTCATTCCATGGGGTTTGTCATTAATTCAATCCCTAAGCATTAGAATAAAAGATCACTAATATTTACACATCCGATTCTTTTTTTTTTTTCGAGTTCTCACGCGAGAGCATACACGCTGAGAGAATACACCTTTTATAGTCAAAGCTCGAAGTGACGTAAGCTTACTGACACAAGGACTAATTTAGATTGGCAGTAACGGTATTCGGTACAAATTTGTACCGAACTATGACGTAATAGTAATTTTAAAAGGTAAATTTTAAATGAATACTGAGAAACAACTCCGGATTCAAGTGACACAGAAATGCAATTTATCGTTCCATTTATTACATATTCAAACTCGTCAATCTGAACCCGAATCCCTCGTTCTAATGAAGAAAATTCCTGGTGTCAATTAACATTTCCTCGATTATCTAAAAAAAAATCACTAATACTGATCAGTAATCAGAATCTAGTGCGCAAATGGCATATTAAATGTTTAATTCGAAGTTTTTTTTGCTAGTCCGAAGTTTTTTTTTTAATCCAAAGTCATCAGTTAATAAGCAAATAACGCTCCGCAGTTTAATTTTATGAATAAACCTCCATTAAGATGAAAAACAAAGCATCGCTGAGAAGATTAAACGGTGTAATATTAATATAAATATAACAATTGTTTCGCAGTGCAATATGACTGTTTTATTATAGCGCGAGTAAATGACGAGGTATTTATAAGTGGGTTTCGAATACCCGCGTTTTGTCGAAGTGGGGAAAATGTTGTTATTTATACATGAGCGCTAATTGGATATATAATAATAAATACCTAACATTGGGTACAACAACATTCTTCTAAATAAGAATTAGCGTTAATATTAAGTTCTGAATTGCAATAAAAGATATAAGAACCGCTTGCAAATTTTAACTACGCCATAATTGACGTAAAGTATAAGCAAAACCACGTTTAGAGCTAAATTTTGAGAATATCTCCTGTTCAATTTGTATCATTTCGCAACTCTGGGAGAACTCCAAGTCCGGGATGTTAATAATTCCAAATAAAGAGGAATGAGAAAGTGACAAAGAAATAAATAAGGAAATAAGAAATTGTGCTGAATGTAATAAGGTAATGCCGGCTGTATCCGGATTATTAATAGTACAATAGTTAGTAAAACGTCTTTGTTCCGAGCTAAAACTCAGCTTTTGCTCATATGTTTCGTGCTCGAAAATAAATTGTAACGTTCTCGATCATTTATTTGATGGTATTGAGTACAAAAGCCTATCGACAGCGGGGAATTATCATTATCTTAGACGTCTTATAAAGAAAATAAACGATAATCCTGAAGTCAATTATTCACCGCTGATACGGAAAGTTTTGCACTTTTACTTTTACCAGTGATATAAATCTTCACAATTGTTAAATAAAAAAATTCGATAAATATAGATATGCTGAAGCTAAGATAGCGTTTTCCAACAGCATTATATAAAACATTGTATGTATAGTATACTTAATAATATTAAAAATCATGCTCTTAGTATTAGCGCTTATACTTTTAAATTTTGCACACGAGAATAACAAAACTTTTTTTGGTCAGCTGGATTATGATGTAACAGGAGTCGAAGACTGGACATACGCAAAGCTAGCAGAACATTATCGTTCGAAAATGCAAAAGAGTCTACAGAAGGTGGCGAGTTTGGTTTCTGAATTTGACGAGGCACATAGACATAAAGCTCAAGAAATCCTTGACAATTGGCAGGTATTGCATATTTCTTTAAAAATGTTGGCAAGTTTAGCATTCAATTAACCAGTCATGAAAATTTTTCTGATGTCCAGAAGCTGCTAAAACCCCTTCAGCTCAAGCTGAGTCAATAACGAAGATTAGATGTAGTAGTATGGTTACGCTCGATGATCAATAGGTTTGACCGCAAGCAGCAGTCATTTGTAACTATAAGCGAAAATTAAAATAAAAAGTGGGTGTAGATTTTTTTAGTAAGTAGAAATTTAAATAAGTCAAGAGCTTTGTCCTCAGTCACAAACTTTTAGTTCGACACAGTGATGAACTTTTAGTTCTATACTTAATGCAAGCTAGGTACCAAAGGATATCTCTTAGGCTTATATTGCGGATTCTGTATACTGTACGTATATAATATGCTTAGGAAATTCTCACTTTTGGGTTATTTATAATAAATAAACAGATTTATGATAGTATGTTTTAACGAAGTAACTTGTTTTTATTAATTTTTTACTTTCAAGGCAATTTATTTCTTTCATTGTTCATGTTACGGTCGGCGTCCACAATAGGGTTGGGAGAGCAATTAATTGCGTAGGTGTGTTCTGCCGAGAGGGGTTTTTTCACAATTTAGCTCTTGTCGCTGCCCTTACTCCAACGATTGCTCATTTAAGGTTGAACTAAATTGAAAGTGACAAAAATTATATGCGCGCTTCTCTTCACTCCCTATACGATGTATTTCTCCTATACTCGTATCTAAATAAGGGTACCCATAATAAATAAACAACAACAATCTATCTACCGCGGAATCAAAGGGGAAATTTTCTTTTACTGATTTTAAACAGGGCAAACTTCGATATAGTGTTTTGACTTGTCAAGGGATGTCACTTATCTAATTAATTATAACAAAAAAAATTTTAAATTATCAATCGAGATACTCTTGCTTTACCGCAACTACGGGTCGTTACCGATCTATTGCGCTGACAATTAACATTTAAATACAGCTACGGGTCGTTACCGATCTACTGCCGATAGTTAAGTCAAAAAGCTTAGTTTTCACGACGATAGAAATAATGAAAGTAAAAAGTTTCGTAATAATTAAAGGATAAAGATCAGATCGATCGTTTATTATATCCGAATACTTCAGTATCGAATGTTATCTATTTTATAACATCAACAATTTCAACATAACATAACATAACATGAGGATTTTTGATGGTCGGGACGGCTCCTTATATATATTTTGCTGTTACTAGATTTTCTACGCCACAAAGCACGTATTTTCTATTTTTCTCACGCTGTCACCAAAATCGCGTTACTCGCGTTAGTTTCTATTCTTAGCTACATTCTTGTGTTCAAAACTGTCACCAAAATCGCGTTACTTGCGTTTGCTCTGAGTAACATCTAATTATTAATAGATCGTCAGGGGTATTGTTTGATTACTGCGGAGGAAGATTTTACTATGTGACTTGCTTATCGACGTCGCTCGCCGTAACAGTTCATTTCCAAGTAACCAGATAGAATTTGAATGCAACTCTATTTGGTATCAGTAAACTCACATTCTCTTCATTATCATTATTATTATCTGAAGTTGCTATAATGAATTTTTTTATAATTTTGTTGTGTCTGAGTTTGGGACCCATCTCAGTTCAGAACCCAGTCACTCAGACCAGAACTCAGTTGCTTCAGTTCAGAACCCAGACACTCAGTCCAGAATTCAGTCCAGAACTGAGACAGGTCCCCAACTAAGGTACAACATTTTTGAGCATTTCATTGTAAATTTAGCTTTTTTCCTTTTTTGCACAATATTTTCTAAGCAGTCTCTTTTATCATAAATTGTGTTAGTGTCTGCACCATTTTGTTGTTCAGATAATTATAATATCATGATATGCAAAACTGAGCTAACAACAATTGGCACATGGCTAGCTATGTCACGGGCAAATTGGCAATATTTATGCCTCAGAAATACTTTTTGCTGCTCAGTGGTTAGGCTAACCCAATTCTGTTTTGGTATTTCAACTATTACTATCACATATCAGTTTAATAATAATTAATATAGACTTGCTTTCCTGTTTACTTGCTCCAGTGATAATCTTTACAGTCTAATTATTATTATATAATGTGCCATTTATGCACAGCCTTAACCGTTTGGGTGTTATCCGCAGATATTTTATTACCCCATAAATACCAGGCAATAGGCCAAGTTTCTTTATTGATTCAGCTTAGTCATGTATATGTACTGGCTGTCTAAAAGCAGCTTTAGCAGTTTTCTGTAGTTGCCAATAAAGATCCTATAAAAACGAAATGTTCAGCGACTAATTTATGATAACAATGATAAAAATGTAAGAATAAAGGATTTGGATTTGCCTGTACTAGTACTACATATCTAAAAAACATGGGTAATACCATGTGACGTGCTTATCCGATTTGCGGAAGATAGATATTAATATATAATATAATAATAAGATATACACAGTGAAACCGGATATAACGAAGGAGACGTGTAGACACTTTTCTTTGTTATATCGAGGGATTTGTTATTATTATATCCAGGAAATTTTACTAGACAAAATTCGAAACATAAAAAAAAAAGCATCGCTATATCCAGGTTTTCGTTATATCCAAACTTCGTTATATCCAGGTTCACTGTGTATTGTGATATAATTTGACATATTAATATAAATAGTAGTTCAAAGTATCACTATTACTATTACTATCAAACTATTATAACCAATTACTAAATTAGGAAGCATATATATATTCCTATATTAATATCCCAAAATTAAAAAATCTGCTCCAAAAAGTAAGGAACAGCTGTACTGAGTTTTGGTCAAGCCTTTATTAATGAGTAAATATTACAATTCAATTTTGTGAAATAATTAACTAATAATTGCTCACATAGTCACACATCTTATCTGCATCCTCAATATGATTATGAAATTTTGTCAACAAATTGATTATATATTTATACTGAAAATTCCCAGAAATTTGATTCTAGAACCTGTAGATCCAATTGGTTAAACTCAAGATTCAAAGAGCCTCAAAGAAGTCAGAAGAAATTTAATTTTAGAGCCTTTGCCAGCAAAAATTATACTGATTTTTGGCTAGTATTTATATAAAAGCATCATTTTTATTAATTTCCAGTAATTTATTAATATCATTCAATGCATTATTGTGTTGTTGAAGTTTCATAAAGACAGCTCCCCTTGCTCTCAATGTCTGTACATCATTTGGTTTCATCTCCAATGATTTGTTAAAATCAATCAATGCATCATAATACTGACTGAGTGCAAGATAGGTATTTCCCCTTCCTCTCAATGTAGATGCATCATTTGGTTTAATCTTCAATGATTTATTGAAATCATTCAACGCGTTCTCATACTGAGCAAGCTTGTAATAGACAGTTCCCCTTGCTCTCCAAGCATCTGCATTATTTGAACTAATCTCCAATGATCCATTGAGATCAACTAAAGCATTATCATATTGCTTAAGATTAAGATAAACAGTTCCCCTTAGACACAATGTAACAGCATCATAAGGTTTAATCTTTAATGCTTTGCTGAAATCCATTAATGCACTGTCATGTAAGTTGAATTCAAGATAAACACCTCCTCTAGCTCTCAATGTATATGCATTATTAGGTTCAATCTCCAAGAGATTACTAAGATCATTCAATGCATTCTCATACTGTGCAAGCTCATGATAAATAGTTCCCCTTGCTCTCAATGCATCTGCATTAATTGGATTAATCTCCAACGATTTAGTAAGATCAATTAATGCATTATCATATTGTTTAAGGTTAAGATAGACAATTCCCCTAATACTCAATGTGACAGCATCATTTGGTTTAATTTCCAGTGACTTGTTAAAATCTGTCAATGCATTATCATATTGTTTGAGTGCAAAGTAGACATGTCCACGTCCTTTCAATGTAGATGCATCATTTGGTTTAATCTCCAAAGATTTATTGAAATCAATCAAAGAATTATCATACTGAGCAAGTTTGTAATAGACAGTTCCCCTTACACTCAATGTATCTGCATCATTTTGACTCATCTCCAGTGATTTGCTGAGATCAACTAATGAATTATTATATTGCTCAAGATTAAGGTAGACAGCTCCCCTTATGCTCAATGTAATAGCATCATTTGGTTTAATCTCCAATGATTTATTAAGATCAGTCAATGCATCATTGTTTTGGTTAAGTGCAAGATGGACATTTCCCTTTGCTCTCAATGTATCTGCATCATTTGGTTTAATCATCAACAGCCTACTGAAATCATTCAAAGCTTTATCATGCTGAGCAAGCTTGTAATAGACACCACCTCTGGCATTCAATGTGTCTGGATCAGATGGTTTAATCTTCAATGATTTGTTGAAATCATTTAATGCATTATTATACTGATCAATTGTGGAATAAACAGTTCCTCTTGCTCTCAATGTAAAAGCATCATTTGGTTTAGCCTCCAAAGATTGACTGAAATCATTCAATGCCTTATCATACAGATGAAGCTTGCAATAGACAGTTCCCCTAATTCTTAAAGTAAAAGCATCATTTGGTTTAAGCTCCAATGATTGTTTAAGATCATTAAGTGATTTTCTATACTCAGACTGCAACATATAATTGTTTCCACGCAATGCCCAAGCTCTAGGATTTTTAGGATTGTTGCTAATACATTTAGTTATATAATTATAACATTCTTGATAATCTGTACTCTTCATGTATGCCATTGCAAGATTATACAAAATAGTAGAACTGTTAGGATAATGTTCAAGTGCTCTTTTCAGCCACAATATTGCATCCTTATATCTTTCCTTGTTGAGTGCTTTCTTGCCCTGTCTATATGTAGGGTGTTGTCGTTTTGGTCTTCTAATTTTTTGCATAAGAGTTTTCTTGGGTTTCATTTTCAGTAAATATAAAAACTTTGACTTTCTGATAGAAGATTCTTCAGCATCACTGTTATCCTGATTTTCAACAGCTTTTGTAAAATTCATTGTGTTGTCTATTGGCATTATGTATCCAGTTTCAACAAATCTTTTATATAATGCTTTATAGATAGGTGAACATGGTATCACTTTGGTATCTTGGATCTGGATTTCTTTATTACAATAGAAACATTTTAATGCATCATAGTTTAATTTCATAAATGTCTCCAATGCTGAATGGCTTATTTTGTGTCCACATGGCAATACTCTGAAATCATCTGTAACTTTTTGTGTGAAAGGACATGTGAGATGGTCTGCAACCATATCCAAAATCAACAAATCATCTGAATCAAAATCAAGCAATTCTTCAGGATTCTGTTCCAACACTGCTTTTTGCTTTGAGGTTGATAATACTAATGCAGAGGCATTAGTATTAGTAAATTTGTATTTCATATTAAAGAACTCTATCATGTCTTGAAGCCCATTTATATTAGCTTTATCCAATACTGCAAGACGTTCAATATGTTGGCATAGATCTGCTTGAACAACTGAAAATGTATCTGGTTTCTTCTTATGAAGTGTCATCAAGACTTCCACTGCTTTAAACTGAATGTTTTCTGTTAATACAATGTCAAGTGTCAATTTTGCAAGATAATAGCAGTGAGCCAAAGTACTAGCATTCTTTGTAGATAATATAAGCTTCTCAGTAATCTCTAGTATACCATACAATAATGAATATGGATATGATACAGGGGCATAACCACCAATATGGATAAGACTATGTTTCAAGGTAGACTTAAAGGTATCCATGTCTGACTCTGATTTTACAGCAGCTTTGGCCCATTCTTGATCTCCAAATCTCCATAAATCTTTAATAATCATTAATTCACCTTTGAAAACTAAATCCTTATTGATTGGTATCTCTGACCATTCAACAAAGGCCTGATACGTGCTGTACAAATATCTCCAATCTTTGTACCAATAGTTGATAGGAAACTTGGAACCTAAGTCCTGTTGAATCTTGTTGTAAGTCTCAAGGGAAGTATTGTCATCAAATGGGGTTTGAATATCTGCCATAATATTAGTCACACCAGGTAAAATTTCAACCAAGCTAGTGAAAACAACTTTCAGTGATTTTATAATCTTAAATAAGACCGTTTCATCGTCATGCATTGCGTGAAGAGTGTCCCGCAGATGTATCAATAAGAAATCAATATTATAATTCTGGCAACTAATGCCTTTCTTTAAACGAGAGTGTAAGTCATATGCTCTTTGTTCATTGTATGGACTGTACTCAAAGTTAAAGTTTCTGTTTAGGCCATTCTTTAGTACTTTAGTATGCCGTTGATGAACGTCATAAAACTTGGAAAGCTGTTCATACAACGTCTCATGGAATTTCCTTGTTATTACGAAATGCCTCTTTGCGGTCGCTTCTAATGCTAACATATATACTCTGAGATGTAGTTCCAACTCCATGCTAGTAGTCATTCTGTGAGTTCCATATGAAATTTTATCAGTCCCCATTATGCGCAGGATGTTTTCCAGTTGATCGTAAGTTAATCGATCTTGAGCTGTCGCTAATAAGGGATGTAATCTGAGGAGATTATAGTTTCTATCGTTGTCATTAGCTACTGACTCTAAGCACTTTATCATATGATTCTTTAACTGAACGGTACTCTGGTTTCTAAAACAACTGATACTAAATACATCGACGCACTCGACGTAGTCGTTGCCATCATCAAATACAATAAGGTTAGGCAGTTCGTCTTCGGCTTGGTCATTTGCTCGATAAAGTGACGGTTCTCCGTTCCCAGTTTGATAGCTCGACGGCTTGCTATATTTTAAATAGCTCACACCTTCTGTCATCTTTGAAATGCCAATGTATTTATTAGTCACAAGTACGAATATTCAAATGTATTTGGGGGCTCATGCCGATGATGACACATGTGGCACAGAGGCCAATAATAATACAATGTATAACAGCTCGTTATAGCAAATTTATGAATTCATCTCAGAGTAACTTTGTTATGAAATCTTTTACAATTTGTAGACTATTCACCCACTGTACACTGGACGTAAGTATTCGTCTGAAAAACGTTTGTTTCTAAACATTATCGAAATTTACATATTAACAGAGAATGTTTACATACTAATTTTTGGCAATCGATGTCAACATTTTTAAAGGTCGTACAGTATAGTTCCATGAGCGAACATTTTAATTAAACTGTTCGGAGTAACTTACCGAATTTTGTAGATCAATACTATAATTTGCAATAGTACTCGAAATCTGATTGGCGTTCGACAATAGTATATTTTTAATTTTGGTAGTAGTCTAAAGAATCGAAACAGGGCATAACGCTGTGGTTTATAACACATAACATAGAGAATTTGATGACGCTTTATCGATCGAAACATACTTTTACGAACATACAGTTTCAGAATCCACGAGGATCCACGCAACTTTACATAGTAGTTTTCTATTAAATCTGTCGGTCATACAACCGAACAGTAGGTTTCCCAACATTGCCCCAACCAGATAGAACATATCATCATCCAATGCTAAACTCGGAAGAGCAAATCGGAGTGCGCAGAGAGCGTATCCGTCGGTAAAAAACCCTGCGCTTGCTACTAAGCAGACCCTAATGTGTGCTGAAGTGATGTTGAGTTTAAAATTACGCCTCACTCTACGATGAACGCCAAAGACTTACCCTGTCTGTTCGAGTCTCTTGCCAATGAATATGACGAAAGTCAGTTGGTAAAATGTGAGACTAAAGAGAGTCAAAGATGGCGACATGCATCAGCTAGTGCTGCAGCAGAGAGAATAACAGAAATGGCCAAGCATTTTCCTCGGCTAACTATATTACTTGACTCTCTAAACAATTACTCTTTATGCGAAAGACATCACAACCAGATTGTTGTTAAAAAGTCGTTTACTAAACGAGTTACTAAAACAAATGACTCAAATTTTTTAGATTCAGAAGAAACAGAGAGAAAAAGGCCAAGATTTTCTAATGACAACGAGTTGCTGGACTTCGAAAAAACTTTTTCTGATTTTGGAGTCCAAGTATCCTTGCCAGATCCAGTATACGAAAGCTTTCAAAAAGAATACACGAGCTTGAAGAGCTCAATCAGCAACTCTTATCTGAGAAATGCAACACTGAAGAAACATTTCAACGAAAACATTTGCTGACCAAGAAGACCGTATTAGATCTGTGACAGAAATCGCTAAAAGGGAACGAGGTAATCTGTATAATGATATTATAAGTCTGATGCAAAACCAAGAACGCTTCAGTTTAGAGTATTCTCCTTCAGAATGGCTTGCGAAGCGAAATCCTGTTATTGTGAGGTTTATTGAAACTATTGCCCATAATGAAAATGAACGTCAACAGGAAGGCGAAAAGCTTTTAAGTGTGCTGTAGCGGTTGATGCTATTTATGAATCAAGACATTTAAAATATGTCTCCGCTATTAATTTGGCCGCTTCAGCAATCAAGTATTCACTAGCAAGATCAAGAACGGTTATTGACATCGATAACCATATTATGAGTTCCGGTAGCTATAAGAAGTTTACTAACTGGTTAAAATATTTAGCTACAGAACAGCCGCAACTTCCCAAAGGCTTTTTCTTTTTGGCCTTTGACAATGAACAGAAGGGTCAAAAAAATTACCTAGATCATGGATATAATACGGTCATATTCCATATCGTTACAAGTTTCATCGCTTTTAATTATGATCAAGATAGCAATGTTCAGAATACAGATCCTTGGTTACATTCGGAAGTCCGTGACAAGCAATATGAGGAATTATTTTCTTTAACTTCAGGTATGAGAAATGAAATTCATAGAGAACTTGCTAATTATCTTACTACACAGTGCCGCTCTTTATAGTAGACCTCCATTATAGTGGAGACTAATTAAAATCGCGATATAGTGGATAGAGGTTCAAACCGTCTATAATAAATTCTATCCGATATAGTGTATTTACTAATTAATTTTCAAAAACTCTCGATATAGTGGACTTTTGAGAATTTTTTGCTAATAGATTTTTTTGATGCACTATAAAGAGAGTCACTGTGTACCATTTTAGAAGAGCTCTGTACTGAAAAATCAAGAAACAAATGCGATTGATGAATCAGTACGTCATCGGTGTCAGACTGGATTTGTAAAAAGTGTTCAGCTTGTCAACATCGATAATAGGAAGCGAATCTGTCCCACATGCCGTAGCAAATTACCAACGATTGCTGAGATAAATCAATTGGTAGAGGAATACATAATCCATAATAGTATATCCTTTATAATACATGGCTTCGCAACAACCAGCAAATGCTCTAAACAGTAAATACTCATATTAATATCTAATATGACTTTTAACTAGTTCTCATAGTAATATTAATATCTATGTTGTCACACAAAGCCCCATTTCAAACTCTAATATTGATTGAAATTATTTAATACATCCTTATACTACTTAAGATTGTTTCCGTATTACTATTACTACAACCAATGTCCATGCGTACTATTACTATGGTTAATTTCCAATGATTTGTTGAAATCGTTTAACGCATCACTATACTGCTTAAGATCACGATAAACACTACCCCTTTTGTTCAATGTCTGTACATCATTTGGATTAATCCCTAATGATTTGTTGAAATCATGTAATGCATCATTATATTGCTTAAGATCATAATAAACACTTCCTCTTCTGTTCAATGTCCATGCATCATTTGGTTCAATCTCTAACGATCGGTTGAAATCACGTAGTGCATCCACATACTGCTTAAGGTTATAATAGACATCACCCCTATGACTCAACACCCATGCAATATTTGGCTCAATGTCTAACGACTTGTTAAAGTCATTTAATGCGTCATTATACTGCCTGAGGTAAAGATAGGCACCTCCCCTACGACTCAAAGCCCACGCATTATGTGGTTCAAGATCCAAGGATTTGTGAAGATCACTTAATGCGTCATTATACTGCCTAAGATAAAGATAGATACCTCCCCTACGACTCAAAGCCCACGCATTATGTGGTTCAAGTTCCAAGGATTTGTTAAGGTCATCCAATGCTTGATTATACTGCTCAAGATCGTAATAAACACATCCTCTTCCGCACAATGCCGATGCATTTTCTGGTTCAATCTCCAACAGCTTGTTGAAATTACTTAATGCATCACCGTATTCCAATCTCTTTAATCTCTCACATACATTTTCGCAAATTGGTCGCTTGTTCGGGTCTTCATCCCAACATTCTGAATACAGATTAATATATTCTTCGGGTGTTCCAGGAAATGGATCGTCACGAGAACCATCGATTCTATAGAGAATAACTGCAGCATCACCAATACATCCTTCACACGGAATTTTTCCACTAGCAATTTCCCAAAGTATTACGCCAAGACTGAATATGTCGGACTTTGTTCCACGTGTATATGGCTCAACGTCATTGCGAAACGACAATGGATCTTTGTATCTCACGGCACCAATATTATGCGATACAGACATCATCTTTAACACACTCGATAAACCGAAGTCGGTTATCTTTGCTACGCCCGATTGGATAAGAACATTATTGGAAGACTAAATGCAAACATAAATGTATAAATCAGCTTCGATCTTTCAATACGTTACAATCAATGTTTGATAAATACCAAATCCTTGTGAATAATACCGAGCCCATGCAAATATTTCAATCCGTTAGCAATTTCGAATCCCAGTTTGTATTTGTCTGTCCAAGTCAAATCATTGAAGTGCTGTTCGAGGTGTTGGCGCAAAGTTCCACCGTCAGCTAGTTCAAAAATCATATGATAGTCCTCATATTCGTCTGCTTGAGTGAAAGTAGGATAGCCGTAAGTATAGCGAATCGTCTTCGCATTTGCTAAAAAGAAAGTAGACTATTTTGTACAAGACTCATACCCTTGCATAAACCTAAAAGCCGAATAATATTGGGATGGTTGTTTACTTTCTTGTGGTTTCTTACCTAGTGGTATGAAAATCGCATCAACAAAAGGTTTATGTACAAATATAAAGCATAACGGTAATATAGTTAACAGCAACCTCTTTGATAAATTGTCTGTGCAATTCTGCCTTATAATTAGGTTTAACATCGTCCCGAAATAGAGTCTTCACCGCAACAGTCATTCCAGAGAGAATGTTTTGTCGTTTGCCTAAGATTGTCATAGGAATGATACCGCTTTTCTGCTTCACCGTCGCCTTGTATACCACTCCAAATGACCCTTGACCAATAGGTCTATGGTCTAACTTTATATCGCTTTTTGGACAACAGTAGATGGATCCTTCTCGAATGCTTGTTTCTAGCCAACCTTCGTACAAGCTATTGGCTCTTTGGTTTTCAGACATTGTATAGTAATCACTATCAGTCAGTCTCGCGGAGCAAAGTCTTGTTAACCATGTGATCATATCAGTTAATCAGTTATAGTAATACAGTAACTGTAGTACATTGAATGTAAGAATACGTAGGTTGAGCATTCTACTAGCTAGGGCATTCAGAAAGAAGAGGAAGTGAGAAAGATAGAGTATTGATAATAGATCGGCAAACATGTCAAATTTATAGCCGATCGATATTAATTAGTGTGTGTCTCTTGCCAAAAAATATAGTATTTATGTTTAGCCTGTATTCATCTTTATTTGAATTCAATTGATTCAACTGAGTTACGTATTTTACGATTTCGTGCAGGCCATAATGGGAAATATATTGAATGTATAAATATATCACTTATACTTTGAAAAAACAGCTATATACAGTCCTCGCACCTGTATATTCGCATAACGTAAATGTGATACAAAGTCTAGTAAGGTCCCATTCGTATAAACCCCTTATTATTATTGTAACCCCACCGGAGGATATGTCCGAGACTATTATAAAATTACCAGTTATATCCTCTCAAAAGAATTTCCGCCATATTTAAAATCTCTCCATGACATCTGTAAATGGCGGTAAGTCGTAAGTCAGCCAACCTCATAGCTAAATCACCCCTATAAGTGATATTAATATTAATATTAATATGAGAAAACATCATTGTATAGTAACAGTGGATATGGTTTGATAATCTAGCGGTTGATCATCTAATTTCGATATTATTATATAGCACAAAGGTCCTATTGGCTCATTCGATTTTCTACAGCAAGGTGGCACGCGATGCAAATCGCGCATACGCACAATAAACCAATATATGCAACTTACCAAGTAGACCCACCCAGACGTTCAATCTGTCTGTCTGTCTGCAGATTTTGCTTTAAAGGAATTAAATCCAAGTATAATCGTAATTTCTTCGAGCATAACTCTTAGCATCTCCCAATAAAATTAAATTCACAATAAAAATTTTGGATATAAAAATAACCTGTGTCCTCTTTTTTTCGATTACCTCTTGTTGTTCCAGAATACGCCGTTTTGCATAATGTTTATTTTCTTGTTAAACTTTATGATTATGTAGGAGGTCTATCGAGCTCCTAATTTATCAAGTGTGTATTCCTTATCCCCGATAAACAACTAGATTCTTTATCTCTCCTAACATGGAAATGCGTAATCGTACATCCATTTTGCGTTGCCATTTTTTGCTATCGATCTGCGTCGTTTGCGTGTTCGAATGCTGCTGCTATTGTATCGAAATGATCGTTTTGAAGATTTCATATTTTGCGCCATCGAATAGTCTTTCGACTGCGATTTTTGGTTCATCGTCATCGACAGCCAGAAATTTTCACTTCTGGAAGAATTTTCAGATTCTTCGGAAGTCAACCTGTGAATATTGATTGGAGCTCAAACAAATCAAATGTCTTCTTTGTTTTGAACGTTGTCCCATTCCTTCACATAGTTAGACTTGAAATGCTACAAAGAACGCATTTTTTGTTGGCGATTGCGCAACTTTTGATTTATATCACGCGCTTAGAGGGTCAAATATTTTGTGAAAATTCGACTACTTTTGAATTGAAATTTTAAAATCTTTACTATTACATAGTTTTAAACGTTCGGTCATGAATAACATATAAATGCGGAGTTTTAATAAAAACTTGTCTACAAAAAGTTGTCGTAACTAAGCGGTCTGAGCCAATATTTATTTCATCTTCCAAATTTGGGTTGGATATATAATTTAAAGTAACAAAAAGTGGGAACAAAATATGGACACAACGTACGCATGAAAAAAAATATTAAAGATTCCAGACGAAGAGGCTGATAATATATACTACAAGGCTGGATTGTCATTTCTTTTTCCCTCTTGGAATTTAAACTAAATTTTATTGATAGATCATCTACGCATTTAGTTAAAGGAACAAAATAAGGGAAATTTGACATTTCCTATTTCTACCTGAAAATGGAAGAGAAACATGAAATAAGTAAAGTTTTTATTCTTCGATGTCACAAAAAGTTTTTTTTAGTATCGCTCACTACTTACAGTATACCTTGCAAAACACAATTGAGTTTACAAACTGTGTCTTTATGTGATTGAGCAATAAAGCGCGAGGCTATGTGCTTCACTTTCAGAATATCCTATTACAGTACGTTAAAAAGGTTAGTACTTAGATAAAGATTATTCTAAAATCTTATTAACATTATTCTTCTTATACAGGTGAGACCAGTGACGTTTCAGAAGATCTGTACCATAATAAGACAAGGCAACTTTAAATGCTAGTACATTTCAAACTCCGTAGCAGTTAACTTCTAATTATTATTATAATAATATATATCACGGATCACAATTGATTACTTAGCACATATTCTGCACTTTCGTTTTTTCATGGCATCGTATACTGACATTGACGATAAAACCGATATTGAGGCAGTTTCTCATTGGCTTTTGAAGTTTCTGAGCGACCCTTCCGGTAAGTGGAAGAACGAGGGCTAACATACATTATAAACTTTACAGTACAGATCTGAATACTCAACGATACACCGTCTGTATATTACAGCTGCGACTTCACTGACCTTGCCAGAAAAGACTGAGCTTGTAAACGCTCTCATGTCTGATCTTGATGTCCAGCAGGCCTGGAGTGATGAAGGTACACACCTCATTACGCTCTTACTCTCGTTGCGCCAATCATTTACGGTCTATTTAACATGAATCTACACAGTGCGTTTATTGGCGTTGCAGACATTGAAAATACTAGGGCGTGTTGTCGCCGGTTGCGGTCGTCTTCTGTCTGACGAGGTATCTACCGTTAAATTGAGCCTTATACACATATTGAATCTTTTTTGGCTGACTTGGTTTATCAACAGGGTTTCCGCATCCTCATGACTCATGCGACGTTACTACCTGAGGGTGGCGATCTTCAAGATACTCTTGTAACACAGGAGGCATTAACTTGTATAGCTAATGCGTTGCTACTAGAGGAAGATACGCGAGATTTGTTTAACAAGTATGAAGGCGTTGAGGGCTTGACGAGAGGACTCAAGGTGAAGGCAGAACCAGATTTGCGAGTATCGGGACATTCCTAATCGTGGTAGAAACTAACTGGAATATTACTGGAATGCTGTTTAATGTTGGCAGAAAGGATCCCTCTCGATTAAAACAGAATTCCTCACATCTCGTATTCTTTTTGTAATGACAGTACGTCCATTACCCTCTGTTAAGAGTCTAGTTAATCGTCTTGGTATAATTGATATTTTGGAACATGTAAGTACTCGGCTTTGTCAGTGTATATCATTTTTTGATGCTGAGTTAATGCTTTATATGCTTTAAGACTATATCCACTCATATTGAAGGATTGGGCCGGCAAGAATCTAATACGGATGCACCAATGCAAATAACAAGGATCATGATTTTAAATGAGCAATTGAAGTTGTTGTTCAATCTGATGGTGAATGATCCTAAGATTGAGAAAGTAAACAAAGAGGAACAGCCAGCCCTTTCTTTTAAATTCGAAAAGTAAGTGAATGAATATGGTGTCCAATAACGTGAATAGTAAATCCAAGGTTGTCTAAATCATATTATGCAGTTACCAAATACTGTGACCGATACTAATAAGTGTTTTTCGATTAGACTTCTTGCACCTGTCCTTAGGGTAATTACCGAGCTCAAGCAATCGGGCCCTCTTCCAATGACGCCACCACACTCTCACGCTGTTCATGCTCTTTTAAACTTCCCTGTCGCACAATACAAAAAATTATGGTTCCCAGATAACCAGAAAGAAGGCGAAAGCCACCTGCTCATTGATAAACTGGTAGATATGTTGAAGGAAATGGTATTCTTTATAGTTAAGGGCGACCCTGATGATAATAATAGTGGGTTGAACAATGGACTTGATATGGATGAGTCTGTTGCTCCTCTTGTCGTGCTACTGAAGAAGTTGGCGGAGGAGGATAATGATGCTAGAGTGATGTTAAAGTCGAAACTGCTGCCAGATAATATGTACGTATGCGATCTCTCTAATAGTTGTATGACAGGTAGACTAACTAGTCGTTTCGTTTACTTGTTATTTCATAGTGACCGTTCTAAGCCACTCGAAAAAGGGGAAAGCCTTACGGCACGACTTATTCGTCTTATGACTTCAGTTATGCTACCACATCTGCGCGACGGTGTGAGTGAATTGCTGTTTAAACTATGTGACGAGAATGGTAATTACAGTCTTTACCAGAAGTTTGGTGTTGCTAGCAATAGGATGGGTGTTTCTGTGGTTGTTGTTGCTATTGTTGTTTGCGCACTAAATTATCATGCTAATGATACATCATATTTCAGCAAGTCTATTTGTTCACCATGTTGGATATGGTAACGCAGCTGGATTCCTAATGAGTCACAATATCACAATACCATCAAGTGATCCGAATGCTCCAATATATAGCGAGAAGCCGATCAATCCTATCACTGGTCAATATGTGGAGGATGCACCGTTATCTCTTGCTAATATGACGGATGAAGAGAAAGAACGGGAGGCGGAACGTCTTTTCGTTCTGTTCGAGCGCCTCAAGAAGACGGGCGTTATGGACGTAGTCAATCCTGTTCAAGAAGCGATTAATTCGGGGAGGATTCGTGAGATTGAAGAGAGGATTGCTAAAGAGGAGGTCGACGATGACGACGACGATTAGAAGTAGATGAAATATACTAGTATACGTATCTCAGAAAAAAGTATTTGTAATTCGAAGTCGTTCAAATTAATTTATATTAACGTTGTAGAATAGAACCGATGCTGTATAACAGTGCCGTGTTGTTTTTCGTTTATCAATAAATTAATATAAACTATTGCTTTATGAACTCAAGATTTTCTTTACAAATTCTATAATAAGAAGGAAGAAAAAGGAACGGTTGGGAAATTAGTGAAGGAATTGATGCACGAATTGCTACTATAAAACAAAGACCGACCATGATAATTGATGCTCCCATTGTCATCGATTGTTTCATCTTTCAAAAGATCCTCGACTTCTGTTTCACTCAACTTTTCACCTAAATTAGTCAAGACTGAAAAAGACAAATAAATTAACACGGGAAACTTCAAATACCGTCAAGTCATAATATAAAACTAACCATATTTGAGTTCGGTCACAGAAATATAACCGGTCCTCTTTTTATCAAAGACTTGAAAACCATCTACAAACTCCTCATAAGTCCCAGCTGGAGCAAATCCTCCAGGACGTTGAAGGATTTTTACAAATTCATCGAAGCTTACTAACAGGGAGATCAAGTAGTAGAACACAAGCAAGGTAAATGGCAACGAACTTTTTGATAAACAGTATTATTTAATACGACTTACTCTCGGATCCGTGAGACCCGGCAAGTTCTTGAACCTCGGCTTGTGTAGGATTCTGTCCAACAGCACGAAGCACATCACCCAAAGTCTCGGACGGAATTGTGCCAGCCCCTTTCTTGTCGAAGAGTGTAAAGGCCTCTTTATAGTCTATTGCAAATTATTTTGAGCAAATAAGACTTGCAAATATGTAGCGAATACGGATATTTGTACGTACCTTTAAGTTCTTGCTCAGAAGGCTATAAACGAAGGAATGAAGGCATAAGTGATAGCGTAACGCTAGAAGTTCAAAGTACTCAATCTTTCAATACCAACCATGTTCTGGTAGTGCGCTAGTCTCGACGACACTAGCCCAAAGTTCTGAGCATTCTTGTGTCAAGTGACATGACAAACCAATCACAACACTGAAGTGTGCCGTCACGAATGTTTAAAACTATTAATAGAAATATGAATTGTGCAACACTGATTTTTCGTTCTTAACTTTGCTACTTATACCGCTAAACCTATTATTGTTATTATGTCCCAGGACAAAATATCAGTCGACATATACACAAGATGGATAGAGGCAAGCATTCGAGAAGGGTCAATTTATTGTTTTCCGGAAAGCGACTTATTGCTGGAACCTATGCCAACGGCTGGTGGTGCGTCAGGCGTCGTGCACCAAGCGAAGGTTAAGCGTTTCAGGTCATTCTTTCGCAAGCCCAATAGTCTCGCTGGTATGACCGTTGCGGTAAAGACTTTCGTCTTGGCGGAAAACAGGAATGAAGAAGAATTTTACAGAAAGTTTGTCCAAGAGGTAGTTCATTCTGCCATGTTATTGATGCATATTATGACCCTATTTGTCTTGGCTAATTTTTTGGCGTTCCCATTACACGTTAGTTGAATAACCATAGAAATGCAAATGATCACCCCAACATTATTCGTTTTCTTGGCCTATGCAAAGGTGCGTTAGACGCAACCCAAGCTCATCGAATGAAAGAGTATCGACTAATCTCGTTTCTATGTATCAAGCAGGCGCTAATAATACTTATCGTATGGTGTTTGAATTAGCTGAAGGTGGAAATTTGCGTCAACACTTGATTAAATATTTTAAGGTTCTGACGTGGAGAGACAAATGCAAATTGGGCTTGGGGATTGTTAATGGATTAAAATACTTGCATTCACTCGATATTATTCATAAGGACTTGGTACGTATTGCAGATTTCTCGTCGCTTATTCATTGAGTTAAATTTCATCAATACTAAATGATGTTATTATTTTATCATTATTCAGTCCTCCAACAATATTCTTATTCAATTAGGCATTGCAAAAATAGCAGACTTTGGTTTGTCTAGTGTTTTGAAACAAATGTCGCCATCGAACGGTCTTGGCACTCTCGCATATAAGGATCCAGCATCTTTCAATGATGATAACGAGTCATGTGAACATGGAAAGGAATCCGATATTTTCAGCCTGGGTGTAATACTCTGGGAGATATCGAGCGGGAAAATGCCGTGTGACGGACATCGTGAACATGCTACAATCGTTATGTATAGACTTAATGGCTCTCGTGACAATCCATTTCCCGGAACACCTGAAGAATATATTAAGCTGTATTCAGAATGTTGGGATGAAGACCCTAATAAGCGACCAATTTGTGAAGATGTTTATGAGAGATTAAAGAGATTAGAATATTGTAATGCATTAAATGATTTTAACAAAATGTTGGAGGTTGGATTGGATCATGCATGTACATTGAGAAATAGGGGAGCTATCTATCATAATCTTGACCAGTATAATGATGCATTGGAGGATTTCAATAAATCGTTAGCGATTGAACCTGATAATGCATGGACGTTGAGCAGAAGGGGAGCTGTCTATCTCCATTTTAAGCAATATGACAATGCGTTATGTGACTTAAACAGATCATTAGAGATCGAACCTGATAATGCATGGACGTTGAGCAGAAGGGGAGCTGTCTATCTCCATTTCAAACAGCATGACAATGCATTGCGTGACTTAAACAAGTCATTGGAGATTGAACCTGATGATGCATGGACGTTGAGTATGAGGGGAAGTGTCTATCAGAATCTTGAGCGGCATAATGACGCGTTGGAGGATTTCAGTAAATCATTAGCTATTGAGCCAGATAATGCATGGACGTTAGGCAAAAGGGGAGCTATTTATATTCATCTTAAAGAGTGCGCTAACGCACTGCATGACTTTAATAAATTGTTAGCTATTGAATCGAATGATGCGTACGCATGGAGTGGAAGGGGAGCTGTCTATCTCGGCCTTAAACAGTATGACGAAGCGTTAACTGACTTTAACAAATCGTTAGCCATTGAACCAAATAATGCATGGACATTGAGCCGAAGGGGAACTGTCTATCTTAATCTTAAACAGTATAATGAAGCATTAAATGATTTCAATGAATCGTTGAAGCTTAAACCGAATGATGCATGGGCGTTGAGTAGACGGAGTCGTGTATATGTTAAACTTAAAGAGTATGACAATGCGTTGGATGATCTAAACAAGTCTTTGGAGACTGACCCAAATAGTGCGTGGGCATTGAGTCATAGGGGAGCTGTCTATTATTATCTCGAGAAATATAATGACGCGTTAAATGATTTCAACGAGTCGTTAAAGATTGAACCAAACAATACATGGACGCTGAGTTTGAGGGGAGCTGCCTATCTTCATCTCGAACTGGATGGTGATGCGTTTAATGATCTAAATAGATCCTTGGATATTGAACCTGACAACATAATAATATCGAGGATAAAAGGAACCGTCTTACCGGATAATGTAAAAACATCGAGAGACATTCATGACACGTTTGAACTGGTCGATATTAATTAAAGTAACGAATATGAATACTGTACAACGGTAGATAAATATCAATCTACTAAATCAATGAATAATAGTTATGATCAGAAAGTTCCATTATAGTACGGTTGGGATACGGACATTAAGGCGGTTACAAGAAATTTAGCCTTCTGGATGGTAATATATACCCTTGCTTTCGCAGAAAGAAAGGTATTAGTTGCTTTGCCGATAAGGAAGCTAAAATGATTCGTTAATAACTTGTAAGAGTCTCGATCATTCCTATTTGACAAAAATAATTGTGAGGGCGTTGTTAGATATTTTATAATAAATTCGTTAAACATGGAGGTTCAATTACTGCTAATGCTGTTTTTTCAACGTCTGTGATATCTAATGTATTGCGCGTAAGTTTTCGTTCAAGTATTTTATCATCTTTAATAACCATGAATGCCAGTTTTCTTTTGCTGATATAAAAACGTTTACCGATTTTATCATTGAATACCAATTAAAAAATACTGAACAAATAATCAAAAAATTTCTTTCTGAAAATAAACCCGTGACATCTTATAACTTGTCAATACTAATACACGTTTGTTGTTGAACAATTGACTCGTATTAATAAACCGACTAAGCGTAAGGCATACAATAGATATCCCTTTCTTTCTAATCTATTACTATGTAAACGCACCATTTAAATTGATATCCAGTGATTCATCGATATCCTTTAATGCATTTTCATGTTGGTTGAGTTTAATATAGACTGTCCCCCTCGCTCTCAATGCAAGTGCATCATTTGGTTTAATTGTCAACAGTCGATTCAAATCTGTTAGTGCATTTTCATATTGTTCACATTTAAGGTAAACATTTCCCCTTACACTTAATGCAAACGGGTTATTTGGCTCAGTCTCCAATGATTTGCTGAGATCGTGCAATGCATTGTCATACTGATTAAGCTTTTGATATACAATTCCCCTTATACTCAAAGCCGCTGCATCATGTGGTTTACTCTCTAATGACTTGTTGAGGTCATGTAAAGCATTAATATATCTTTGGAGTTTAAGATAAACAACTCCTCTGTTTCTCAATGTCAATGCATCATTTGGTTCAATATTCAATGATTCGCTCAAATCTCTCAATGCTTTATTGTACAAATTAAGTGCAAGATAGACACCTCCTCTTACTCTCAATGCATCTACATCATTTGGTTTAATATCCAATGCTTTATTGAGATCGCTCAATGCTTTATCATACTTCTCAAGATAAAGATAAACAGCTCCTCTACTTCCCAAGGCAGATGCATCATTCGGTTCAATCTCCAATGATTTATTGAGGTCGTCCAACGCATCATCATACTGATGAAGCTTTTGATAGACAGTTCCCCTTATACTTAATGCAGCTGCATTATTTGGTTCAATCTCCAATGATCTGTTCAAATCATTCAGTGAATTGTCATATAGTTCCAGCCGTAAATAGATGGCTCCCCTTCTGCTTAACGCAAATGCATTATTTGGTTCGATATCCAATGATTTATTGATATTGCTCAGTGCATGGTCATAGCTCTTAAGGTGGAGATAGACAAGTCCCCTACGACTCAATGCCCATGCGTCACTTGGTTCAATCTCCAATGACTTATTGAGATCATCCAATGCATTGTCATACTTCTCAAGATAGAGATAGACAAGTCCTCTATGACTCAATGCCCATACATCGCTTGGTTCAATCGTCAATGATTTGTTAAAGTCTTTTAATGCGGCATTATACTGCTTCAAGTTATAATAGACATATCCCCTTCTACTCAAAGCGTATGCATCATTTGATTCAATTTCCAACGATCTGTTAAAATCTTTTAGTGCATCGTTATATTGTTCTAGCTTTAAATAGACAGCACCTCTTTTACTTAATGCAAATGCATCATTCGGTTCCAACACCAATGCTTTGTTGAAATCATTTAACGCTTCATTATACAGCTTGAGATCAAGATAGATAGCTCCCCTTCCACTTAATGCACATGCGTCATTCGGTTTAACTTCTAACGATTTGCTGAAACCATTTAATGCATCGTTATACTCAATTCTCTTTAATCTCTTATAAACGTCTTCGCAGAGTGGTCGCTTGTCTGGGTCTTCATCCCAACATTCTGAATATAATTCGATATATTCGTCAGGCGTTCCAAAAATTGGAGAATCACGAAGGCCGTGAAGTCTGTACCGAATAATATCGAAAATTAGAGTAGCTCCTGCACAAGGAATTTTCCCACTAGATATTTCCCATAATATTACTCCAATACTGAAAACATCGGATTTCCTTCCACGTTGGTATTCAGGATCACGTATTGCCGCTGGATCTATATATGCTGCAGAGTCCCCCTTACTCTTTGATGAAGATGTCGTTTTCTTCAATACGGCCGATAAAGCAAAATCTGTTATTTTTGCAACGCCAGATTGGATAAGAATATTACTGGAAGTCTGGGTAAATGGTATAAAAAAATATTGTTGAATAAATTGGAATATTATAACATCAATTAAGTTACAACAAAATCAGTATGCAATACAGTACCAAATCCTTATGGATAATATCAAGTGAGTGCAAGTACCTCAAACCGTCGACAACGCCTAAACCTAATTTGCATTTGTCTTTCCACGTCATATCGTCAAAGTGTGTCTGTAAGTGTTCACGCAAAGTTCCACCGTCAGCCAGTTCAGTTACGATATGATAACGATCATCTACGTCTGCATGTGTGAAGGATTATAATAAGAAGTTATTCCTTTTCATTAAATAAGAAAGTTGCTGTCTATTAACATGCCTTTGTATAGACCTAAAAGCTGGACGATGTTGGGATGATTGTTCGCATCCCTGTAGCGCTTTAGCTAGCGTATAACAATACATAAGAATTGGTCTATGCAAATATGACGCGGTAAGCATGACGGAAGATAAATAATAACAACCTCTTTGATAAATTCTCGTTGCGCCTCTTCTTCGCAACTCCCATATAGAGCCGGAAAACCAGCTTTCAAAGCAACAGTCATGCCGCAAAGAAGGTTGCGCCCCTTGCGCTTGGTAAAGATTCCAAAGCTACTCTTCTGCTTCAACGTGGCCTTATACACTGCTGCATATCCCCCGATTCCTATAAGTATACGATCCGTTATGTCGTCTTCTGTCCAACAGTGGATTAAACCGTCCCGTATGCTTGTCTCTAGCCATTCTTTATATTCCTTTTTGGTTATTTCCATGGGTATCGAGGCATTTTGCTAATTACTGTAGTTTTTAATTCACAAGCAAATTTTTTCGTAACACCAATACAACCCATGAACGCCATGAACGCGAAAATTAACACATCACATTTAGCAGATAATAATAACAAGAAATTCATTTTTAATGCGCATCTATCCTTTATTGAATTGACGAGAATTACATTCCACTCTTCTCTTATGAATTGTTATAATTACTTGGCATTCGTGATATCCCACATTTTTGATGACTTAGATGCTTGTGGTCGTCGTCTTGCGTCTATATCTGCGTAAAGGCAGAATATACCCTAATAGAAATTCACCTCAGGCAAAAACTTTCCTGGGAGCCATCTGATTGGAGACTGACGTTGGTGCATTCATTATTCTTCGCTTTATCGAGGTTTTCGTTTCTCTACCGAAAAATATACATAGTATTAGGAAAGTCATATGTACGGATAAACGGTGTAAATGCCATAACATATACCGTGAACATTACTCTTTATTGGCTTACAACATAAGCTTACTACGTATTTTGTTCATTGGTCCAAGTCATATAAAATTGATTAACTCACAGAGACAAGAATATTGCGAACAATTTTGTTGTTGACGAGAAATATGCGGAAGGGATTTACAAAGATGGATGGCATTATTAGCTTAAATAAATTGTCGCGTCATATTATTCGATATATTGGTCTCAGAAAAGCTTCGGTTTATTATTATAAACCAATGCTTAATTTTCAAAATATGAATTATTGAATCATGTGTTTGTCAGCCCATTCAACGCGTTTTGCCTCTTGAGCTTTAGCTAACATAGAAGTATCGATTAGCAACCGATTTTTATAACCATTTCATATACAGTGTATAACAAAGAAGCCTGTCATTACCAAGCATGTCCGTTAAACAAATAATATCTTGTTTAAGAAAAAGAGTTGTTGATTCTGTTATTGAAAAGTCAACAGCCAATATCAAGTCGGTCGCCACAACTCTTTTGGTACCAATAGTTTTTCACACAATTCAATAACAGCTTTTCTTGTGAGCGTAATTTTTATAATTGGTTCTCGTCGTATAACTCCGATTAGCATGGAGAGCACTTATTTTCACATTAAACTTATGAAATCGGTCATTTAAGATTATACGGGTGTGTATATAAAGTACTAATTATGTTGCAAAACAACCTTTCAACTTATTAGCAAGATGAGACATTGTCTATTCGTTTTATTAGGAAATCGTGTATTACGTGCATGAGACATTAACAATATAGAGAGAAAGGGATTGCTTATTCATGCAGATTTAAGCTCTTGTCCTTTTGTCCTTCCGATTGGCTAATAAAAGTCATTGTGGCACGCATTTACAAATTTCATATATTCTTTTTCCATTCATTTCTCAACGGAAATGACCTCAACTTTTCGGCAAATGTCCCGTGTCACATACGTGCTTTTGTCTACTCATTATTGACGGTGTAAATAATTAGACCCGCTCTTCCATGTTTCCCGTTTCCGTAATGATTTACTGCGTGTAAATAATTTATAAATATAAATTGACAGTCTCGTGCAACCATGCGTATGTCAAAATTGACGATTACAAAACTATAACGGGAAACTCCGAAGATGATTTATGTTGGCGGTTTGGGGAATGGGCTTGTGCGTAGCCATTATGCGTAAATACGTAATATGATTTCCGCATCCGCAACATAGATTTTATTAGTACTTTTTCGCTTTAATCGCTGCGAAGCACTACGCCTCCACTGAACGCAGTTTCACTTGCGATAGATATATAGAGTCGAGAAAACACACACGCTCGCAATCGTCACTGGATAGAATATATAGACACAAATGTCGATATTGACAAAAGATTTGATATTCAGTAAAACGAGCGCAAAGTCACTGGCTGACATTAAGAATCTGAATCTGTGGGGCTGCGAGCTGGTGAACGTTAGTTTATTGAAGAAGTGTCCTAACCTCGAAGTGTTAAGTTTGAGGTCAGATATTGTATAATAAAACTATTGAACATGGATTCAAGTTTATGCTCATCTATATTGGTATTAAAGAATGCTCTTTTTGTTACATTCCCAACCAGTGTTAATAATTTGACAGCGTTAGATGAACTATCGGAATGTGAGTTAAAACCTTTCAAGTATTATCTGCTATAGCATTACATTCAACTAGTTTATTCACAACGTAAATTATGGGCTCGATCTGTACCTATCTCTAGGCAAGAATTTAACCGGTATGTGGTTAGAACGGTTATCACACGTCACAACGCAATGGCAAAAAAGCTGTTAGGACTACTTCTTCTTACCTCTCGTTACTTGTCTGTTTTGTGTAGAACTATATTTACGCAAAAATTATATATCCGACATAAATCAAGTGAAGTACCTGACATCATTACGTAAACTAGAAATATTATGGCTTTGTGACAACCCATGTTCAGAGGACTATGAGCAATACAGATATACAGTTCTTAGTTATCTACCATGGCTCAGGCAGTTAGATCACCAAGGTACACTCGTAACAAGAATCATACATCAACCTATTTGACATTCCTCGTGAAAACAGTTATCCATCCCCAATATCTAACACTATTGTTTTTACAATAGATGTCGACGACGAAGAAGTTTTTGCATCAATGAACGCATCAATCTCAATCAAACCACGTCGCAAACCACTCATCAAAACAAAACAATCATTCAGCAGATCATCGTCATCGGACAATGAAAGGAACGAAAGACTATACTCGAATATAAATCTCAACAACTCTATAACAAACGTTCTTATACCACCAACTACGATCAAGTCTAAACAAATTACGTCAAAAGCAGTCGATGTTGGAAATACAAAGACACAATCTTTGAGAGGGTCCGACATTGAAATAAGCAAAAATCTTTCTAAAATACCTACTACTCGATCACGACTAACCCGCTCGTCACTACTCTTGGCAGAGAAATCACTGTCGAAATCACCCTCGTCTCTCCAACATTCGACACCGTTGACTCGGTCCATCACCCATTCGCCAACTCGAACTCCCATATCTCGATCACAATCTCCAGCGCTCTCAGCTGGTGTCAGAACGCCGCCTCGGCAAAAAATAACGACTGGTGCAAAAACGCCTACCGGAATTATGTCACCGAAAAGGTCGTTATCTCCTGCTCCAGTTAGATCGGGTAGGCAGACACCAGTGGATGTTCGAGGTAGACTTGGAGCACAGTCTCCAGCGGTTAGTGAACGCAGTAGCAGGGGAGCGCGTACCCCAGATGTTAATGAATTGAAAAGAGCAATGTCACCGATCGTTGTGGTGGACGATACGAGTTTGAATGGGAAAGCAAGGTCTTTAATGGTTGGCGGGGAAATGAGTAGGAGTCTTTCTAGAACGCCTGAACCCAAAGTTGATTACGATGATGACGTGCTTGAAAGCAAGAAAGGCAAGACACAGGTAACGTGCGAGAGGAAAAGTGGCGGAAGGGGCGTTAGGATGAGGAGAGAGTTTCACGTTTTTTAAGAACGATGATTGATAAAAAAGCAGACGAACGGGGTTACGGCACGTTGTTGAAAATGATGGCTAAGTTTAAATTTTCACTCTTATAGTCGAATGCTTTGACGGCAGTTCTGGCGTTATTGGACGATTTGTCAGACAAAGAAATTTTGACTGTTCAGCGTAAACTCCGGCTTATTATACTAAACAAACAAGGACAACCAAGCTAATCATGGAACGGAAAATATAGTAACATGGAAAGGGTGGGGGGGGGGGATATAATGCCATATTTACGTAATTAATTAGACATTACTAATTGCTATTATTACGAGTATTTATTAACTTGGTAAATTAATTCATTAAACACCTAATGTTATTTAGAACTTAGAATATTTTATATAATTTGTATATATACTATTATTCCTTTTGCTGATTCAAAGATTTATCTCCACACACGGTACATTGTAATTTATCCGTCTATCAAACTAGAATGATGATTTATGTATAACTTGGTCATATTCGCATCTCCTCTTAATTTTCTTTCTCGTCTTTCATTTCCACCACCCAGTCTAAATTATTTTCGCCCAGAAGAGAAATCACCCCTTTCACATTCTCTATCGTTTGGGAAATCATCATTTCAATAAATTTTTTAATTTTTCGCGCGTATTTTCTCCAAGTCATTTTGCAGCCGGACGAGTTCTTCCCGTCTTTCCTCACGTAATTGTTCTATTTCTTTTTGCAATAGTTCCATACCCTTTTTCAACTCCTCGGTCGAGTTCATACAATCCTCATATTTATCTTTGTTAGACTTGTAGGATCTAATCAAAAATTGATTTTTTTTTTCGAACAAGGAAAAAGTCAAGGATAAATTAGGAGTGAAAATACGTGTAGCAAGCAAGTGCCAGGCTTGGTTAAAGCCCGGTCCAATTCACTGGCCAAATACAATTACCTTCTTTGCTCAAATATGATCAATCCGGCAGCAACACCAAATACCAGTGTTTCGCCAAGGAAATTAGCCCCCATGTCCACAGCTCTGTGTTCGTCAAATCATTCATCAGACAATCACAAAATCTCTTGATATATTCTCTCACAAGAAAATTCTAATCACTTTAATTCATCAGAACTCACAAGAAATGGTTCCTCGTATCCTTACTTTGCATCTTTCAAAGGCCTAACGGACGCCACCTTTTGACCGAGAAGATTCATTTTTAATTTCATTTCCAATCGATATGTTGCCTAAATTCGGTGTTGGGTGATTGTTAACCATAGATGAAGAATGTGTGTTGGGAATGAAAAAAAAAAGTGAACCTGGGCAAAGCTGATGCATGCTTTTCTAAATCGTGGGTGGCTTTTGCTATATTCCTTATAGTAGAAAGTAGAATTATTTATTATTTCATGAAAATGAGGGCCGATGATTCGTAATATTATATTGCAATTACATACTTTTATACTATTGGCAATTGGTTTGGCTAATGTTCGTGCGAATAACGTGGCTAGCTTCAGTGAACTCATGTTTAATAAAAAAAGCTCAGAATGATTATCAACAATCAAGTGATCGACATAACTTAAACTACGCTAAATTCTCGATCAAATTTTTGGGGTATGACTATAATTATAACAACAATAGTAATTCCGGCTATATCTTTTGATAATTTACCGGGGAACGAATTATTAATGCAATAGCGTAATGTCTGGTTGTATAATACCGAGGCCTATTACAATTTTTTTTCGACTTACTCTGAAATACGTAATTATTAAAGTTTTGCGGCTGATGCTGAAACCTCATTTTCAAATTTTCGGTTAGTTTTTCTCAGTTGACTTTTCATTGGTTGATCAAATTCTATTCTTTAACTTGGTCAGCATCAGCTCCCACGACTTTTTTTTTATTCAACGTTCCGATCGTAATTACACTTATGAATACCAACACGCATCAATCTTGAATTGACATTTAACGAGGTATACTTTTCTGTTTTATATAATTCAGTTCGTTCTCGTCATAATAATTGTCACCGATTTGCTCGTCGATGGTTATACAGTTGTCCGCAAATGAATTATTTTCCAGCGTCATCGTGCTCGAAGAATGCTCACTATCTTCTTGGTGAGAACATTGACAATTGTCAGCACTATTTAAGTTTTCTTGCCTCCAATCTCTTCGTCTATTGTGACGATTTGGTTAGGTGATGTGCTCAGGCGATCATAATCAAAGTTCTGACCCGTCTCGTTTTACAGAAATACCACAGCACTTGAATGACCTTATGATTAAAGCTGTATCGACATCTTCCCAGGAATTTTTAACCCATGTTACAATTGTTTCATAAGACGGTTGCTTGATTTTTCCAGTATGGGTATATTCTCTTACTTCATCCATCATCCAAGCGTTACATCTCTTTCTCATTTAAATAAAAATTAAATATTAAATAATGGACTATGATTATTGAATAATGATTATATGATTCTTACCTTTGCTTTGAATGATCAGTTTACAGCAACGTCAAGAGGTTGTAGTCTTGATGTCAAACCTCCAGGAATTATAGCTATATCCGTTTTTTGATCAAGTAGATGTTGTTTTGCTGAATCAGAGATGTATGCCGAAAACGAATCCATAACTAACAGTGACCGTGGGTTTGAAAAAGGGGGACGTTTACTCCAAATACAGTCATCCATCCGTTAGAGTTGGCTCGCACAAATACATCTGCGGGGAAGTTTGCACGTGGAACATTCTTGAGCTTAAAAATAATTAATAGAGGTAGTTTTGTTTCATCAGCCATACAAGCCAAAATCACAGTGAAATGTGACTCATATTGACTGTACGAGTGGTGTTTCATCCATGTTTCCAATAAACTTTATATCATAATTATTTTGAATACGCTGGTATAATATGAAGGATACAAATTCATGTTATTTTCCTGGCAGTTTTTGCGAGATTGTTCGTCGGCGATTACTCAAATTATCTCGTGTCATCAATCCATCAACTCATTTGTGGGTAAACACAAATGACCCTCTGTCAGAGTACTTACACTACCCTCGGAAAAGTATTTGGTCAACAAAAGAAATATTTTATTTATTTAATTTTTTAACACAAACATGACATTTAATATTCTGTAGGCCATCCTTGATTCCTAATGCATGCTTCAATTCTATGTGGCATGCTTTCAATAAGTTTAGTATAAGTTTCAGGTGGAATTTTTCTCCTTCTTCTTGTTGTACTTTTTCAAGTTCATGAAGATTTGTTGCTGTACAGAGTGTTTCCCGCGCCTTGTTTAAGTTCACACCATAAATGTTCGATTGGGTTAAGGTCTAGAGATTGAGAAGGCCAATTGGAATATACCTTAATCCGCTTTTGAGCAGTCCAATTTTCAACATCCCTTGCTGTATGAACCGGAGCATTATCATCCGCAATAAAATTGTTTACATTTCGTGTTGAATTATGTTTACGCTTGTGTTTATCAAGATTTATCTATACATAGTCAACCTCGATAAGTCGGCCCAGGTGGGCTGGGCTATTTTGGCAGAGGACTGACTTATCAAAATCGCGTAATCTAAATAAATATAATAAACTTAATTTGCAAAAAAAAAACTATCTAGAGTAGTTTGTTTCATAAATTCAATTTGTTTCTTCCTTATTTGTTTCTTATTTTTAATACTAACGAACAATCTATGCTGAAGTTATTCTGTTGTTGTAAATGACGCAATATATTTTCGACACTTTCTAAAGCCGTTTTATTTGACACCGGTAATAGAGATAAATCATCGTTGCCGTCACACTCTTCCTCAGCTGTTTGCTTAAACTAAAGCGATAATTTCATTATCGTTTATGCCGGATTTCTCCAAACTTCTGCATTAAGTTGGGCTGCGTGATAAGTGATTGTATGGTATTTTCAATATCTTCTTCAGCTACAGCATCAACATGTTATCGTCTTCGGGTATAATACCAGTTCTTTGACAACAACGGTAAATTTGTGTTGTCGACTACACAGTAGATTCCATTTTGCAATTTATATTATTCATTGAATATAAGTACCAACGCTCTTTTATTTATAAATATTTTTTTTTTTTGCAAGACGTAATTTTAGTTATCATTCTGACACTCGCGCGAATAATTGCACAGTGGCTCTCTTTATAGTGGAGACACAAAATCCAACAGTTTTCTACACTATAACGAGCTATACACAAAAAAGAA